TTGAGATGGCTTTTGTGCTTAAGGGGACTAGAACTCACAGTCTCTTGGTTTCTGGGCCAGCAGTACCTTAACCACGACATCAAACTGGCACTCCAGCAGCCCTGTCAAAGGAACTGTCTTACACTCCTGCCTGAACCTGTTGCACTTAGCTCAGTGTTTCTCATTCTTGGCAACTTTGAGATGCGTGGATTTCAACTCCCAGAATTCCCCAACCAGCAGATTTGCCAAGGTTGAAAAACACGTTGAAATTCAGCTGGATTGCTTTCATTTCCCCGTCTGCAAGTCTGACGTTTAGAGGTTGGCTGTGCCAGTTTATACCTGCATTCTAACCTAATAACTCTCAGGTACATGAATCTCTGTGTTAATGACAACAGTTAATAAAACCAAAGGTGTTTTATTTAAAAAAATATGTTCTCCTTATTAAAATTCACATGGAATCTGAAACAAAAAGATACAACTTATCTCCCTGGTCTAGAAAGATGGCTCTGATGCCAAATCTTCTTGAAAATACAGTATCTTTACGGGGAAAAGAATCAACTACTTGCTTAATTGCCAGCTATAAGCTTCCCATGGCTTTGGGTTAGTAAAGCTGAGCTAAAAGGAAGATGACACAACACTGGGTATGTAAGTTTTTATTTCTATCAGTTAAAGAATTGTGTGTGACTCAAAAATTTGTCTATTTCTTTATAGACAGAATTTGCACTAATAGAAAATATTCTTTTGCACTCTTTAGCTATTAGATAGATATGTTTTATCATTGGGAACGGAGTTTGAACTAACACATCTATTAAACAAAACTTTCCAGGTTCATATTTTTCTTTTTTAGAATTTTTTAAATTAAGTTTTATTATAAAATAAAAATATACAAGAAACAAAAGTCAGAAAAGGAAAGAAAAAGGAAAGAGAAAAGGGCAAAGACAGAAGAAAGAAATAATGACTTCCAACTTCCTTTGGTGCAGTAAATTACAAAAATAATATAATACAAGCCATTTCTATCATAAAATCATTCTAATCGT